GTCAGTAAAGGGCTCTTCGAAATTCGAAATGTAAAGAAACTCACTATACAAGCGAATTTAAAGCCGTTGAAAGGACGCTACTGTTATTCAAATACATTTTAAATCTAATTAATTACTTGTCAAGCAAAAGACCTTCAAACCAGACTTTTTGAATGATTTTCCACGATTATTGGCACAAATGAAATAAATCACAGGAGAGTTTGTAACAGTTGTACAAGATACTTCTTCGCAGAAAATGTACAAAACAAATCTCGTTTGCCTTGCATATCGCCCAGAAATTGCGGGAAATTGACGATTTTATGTCGCACATCAGAAATAAATGACCAAGCCTAAATCGCTACCTCACCACTTGAAAAATTTGCATGTTCACTGGAACTTCTGTTTAAGTGGTTTTCGTCCCACAGCGCTTGTCAATAAATATAATCAAAAGGCAATTTTCACCTCAGCAACTAATTCTCCCACTTTTCAAATTAACAGTGTCTGTCATAAAACGTGTTTTGGTGATTTTTTTCGAGTTAAACGAACTGGTAATGCCACAAGTACTTAGAAAAGTCCGAGAGCTGTCAAGATGACGTCACTCAGGGTATAAGTGGTATCCTTTATTACTCTGTGAATGATCTGACGCGGAAAATATATGAATTGTTTTTCATTAAGTCTACAATATTTTCGTAGACTCAAATAGGCAAGAATGAATATTCATACAAGCAAAGCGAGACATTCGGCCGATCCCTTTATGGCTTAGCTGTGAAATTCTGAGTACTATTGTTATTAATTTACGAATTTCATCATAGCTGGGGTTTCCTGGAGTTTCACAAATATGTTGATTAAACTTTTAGATCCGATTTCTCAATAATAAAAGCTAAACCACGTTGTTTGAGATTTTATTCAACACTATGCTCTCTCCACTTTACTTTTATTTATCCAAAGTGCGATGACGTTGGATTCGTCCCAAAGCAGGCTTTCGCGTTTCCGCGCAATGGTTATTCTGAATAGTCTCAAGCCAAATGTTAAAAAAGCATATTGTAGTAAAGTACAAGCTCCATAACTGTCTATAACTTTACTAGCATTCACAGAACAGAAGTCAAAAGAAGCGCAAGCAGTGTAGGGGTATGTCATCATTTGTGGTTTCCAGATTAACTATTTTTTTGATACTCTAAACTTTCCCAGTCACTGATCCCCACTTTAGACACTTTGGAATTGCTCTAGCTCCCTCTTATAGTTGTAAAGCGCAGAATCCATTTAGATAGCCCAGACTCGTACGTGTGCGATTTAAGCTTTTTACACTTTCTCCAGTAATTATCCTTGTAGACGGTTCAATTCATTTTCTGGGTCTGGTTGTGGTCTGGGGATTTGGTAATGCTCTTTGAATGACATACTCGGTGCTTTTTGGGCGTTTTTCTAAACGAAATTTCTAGGTAACCTTGCTACTGCGTTTCTAGGGCTTTGCTGTCGCCTGTGCTTGTTGCTTTATAGGAATTTCCTATCACGCAACTAAGACAATGCAAATGGAAGTTGAAGTCATCCAGAATTGCCGTGATTAATTCTAAACAGCAAAGCCAATCATAGTATCGCATTGGAAATAGTATTAACTCAATCTGATAAATAACATGTTTTGAGCTATTAGGCTTAGTGCTATATAGGCGCCTGTTTCGTCCTATTGGAACTCGTCAGTAACATCTTCCTTCGGTTCAGCAGATCTCCTAAGACCAAATAATTCTTTCATTATTACACCTTTATTTCGAGTGCTTTGTTTAGACCACGCTCAAATTTCAATGAATTTCAATAGAGACGACCAATATCAGAAGCAGAAAATTTAGTCTGAAATTATAATGCTGGAGCTAAAATACTTTTGCTCTTAGGGTTTTTTAAGATGGAGATTCCAACACCAGATTTGTCGCAAGTCAACGGCTATTTGGACTAAGATGTTAGGATAGCATGGAGTGCTACTCTAATAGACTTTCTATCTGACATTACCTGTTAATATCCACTGTCAAATAACAAAAATTCTCGGAAAGAAAATTAAAGATACTGAGGAATATAATAAGACTACTCGTGTGTATTAAACAGAGCCACTGAGACAACCACAAGTACTAGCCATTCTGAGAACCAAATTAACACCCTAAAAAAGGCATGGAACTTTCATGGTTCATAATTACTTGCAGGCCTTTTTCGACCGGCCAGAGCGCTTCCACTAAAATTTTAGTAGTCACCCAATAGCTTGAGAAAAGGCCATTCTAGCAATGTGCTCAGTATAAACAAGAAATATTCTGAGTGCGCTGAAGCAGTAAAGAGAAGATGTTTCACACTCGGAGTGCTTTGCTCACTCGGCTGGCGTCTGTTTTTGGGCTTCACTGGAGTTAGTACCCTGAGATAGCTCAAATCCAGATGATTCCAAGCCTAGGTTGGTTTTCAATGAGATATTCACATAACGCTGTAAGGGCGAAGAGAAGATCACGTTTCACAATCAAAGTTCACTCTGCACGTAAATAATATACATGTACCTGAAGCACATGAGCGTACAGATAAATCTTCGAGTATCGCAGTATTACGAAAGAGCTAAAATTCATATCCAATAAAAAGGAGCGCAGGCGGGGCTAGCGTGGTCGCGTGGTTTCGATGCTGGTCGCCGTGCGCGTGGAGCACTCACAACCCTCTCCGACACCCAACAACAACGCCAGTGGAAACGCCTCAGCCAGACTATTATCGAGATTGCGAGGAGACCTGCTCACCACTATTCTACAAAGTTCAACTAGAAGATGAGAAAACAAACTGAATGCCAGAAGTACTGGAATCCGTACTGTGAAAAAAAACGCTATAAAACACTAGTTATATATCGAAAATCGCGTTGCGCGACCGATTTCCCACCATCGCCAAAGGGTGAAGCATGGCAGAGATCTAATTCTGGTTCAGCAACTCGTTCATAAATAAAAAGAAATGGAAGGTGAAAGCAAAAATCAATATGGGCGTTCCAACAGTTAACCAATCAACAACTAACAAAAATCTGTAAGCACTGAATGGTATGCAAACCATTCGACCCCAAAAGGGCGTTGAACCCGCGTTTCACCCATATTAAGGATGCTTGATACCACTACACCGCAAAAACCACCAATTTACAACCAATCTTTCTTTGATATCTTCCATCGTTGTTGTCAGCAACCACTTTGTGACACCATCATAAAGCTAAAGGATAAAGCTTTCAGCGCTGATCAACCTCTGAAGGATGCGCCATGCATTCGTCTTCAATTTTGAGTTTCGTTTGAGGTGATTGAATGCATATCTGGCCTTCACAATGACTCGCAGTGACCTGTCGCTGTATCGAGTCAGTGCTGCTTTTCCTTACACACAAGACTCAGACCAATCTGATACCAATTTACTGAGCCAGAGAGAAGGATGACTTGGCGAGCGATGAGCGCAAGATCGAACCATTGACGTCGTGTGCGACGCAAAGCACCCCTAACCACTGCGCCACATGCACTCTAAACATCATCATACTGCTTGATAAGAGTAGAAATAAAGAATCCGAAGAGAATTTACAATTCGTATAATTACAAGCTCAAAAGGAGGCCAATGCCGACACGTCGATACTCGACCGAACCTGATAAAGGTTCCTTGTTGACAGCTACGACAGGATATACCGGAGTGGCAGCAGAAAGGCCGCCTTGAGGATATAGTGATATCACGCACCGCCAGTATGGATGAAACGCAGGTTCAACTCCCGCCTGGGTCGAGTATTTTGCACATCGCTCAATGCTCTTAGATCTATATCGATGACATCGCAACACGCTTGATAGCAGCTGAAAAGAATGATCGAAATAAAACAACAGATATAACCTACCGGGGAATGATGCTGTATCATGTAAGATCGACTTGTCCTTGATTTACCTGTAAGAAATCACAATCACAAGTGCTCTGGATGAAGAAAACGAAAAAAAAACCTTACATGTTCGTCCGCGAAGGCGAGACAAAACTGACCATACGGACATATTTCTCATTATCTGTCTACTCTACCTAGTGGAAACGTCTAAAATCCTGGGATTTTTCATGTTATCCTAGGACAAATGAAGGAGCGACCCCTCTCGCTGGACAAAAACTTTTCATAAGAGTGCTAGTAACCATTGGAAAGCTTACATCTCTGGCTACTGCACTACGTGTTCCTTACCAAAGGCCCTATTATAACGCTCCAGCATTCAAAATAAAATTACATTCTAAACAGGACGCGCGCTTTTATCGTCAATTTGTTAGAAGCACGAGAAACATATGAACTTGTAGAGGAAATCTTGTAGTATAAGAACCATACGTTTGACCTGGAGTTCCTTTCAAAATGGAGAAAAAAATCTAAATCAGATAAAAGAAATTACCCGCCACATGTGTGTCAAGTCAACGCGATCAATCGATCGATCGTATGGAGTCCACGGCAAATCCCCATTCCCCAAAACACACACACATACTGGTCGAGAAAGATATGCGACGGGTATGTAAGACTCAATCTTATTTTCCATGCCAAACCGTAGTAAAACGATCTCCCTAGAAGTAAGCACCAGCATCGGAAACGCCAAAATTTACGCTACTGAATGGCTACTCATAATCTGAAAAAAAGTTCCGCTCTGCGAGAAATATGCGTGTGTGCTACACAAATGCTTTGTTTCTGCGACAGCGTTACAAAGAGGCTTTTGCAAAAAATGGCCACGTAGCGCAGTAGCCAGAGATTTAAACTTCCAAATGCTTACCAACACTTTCATAGAAAGTTCTTGTCCAGCGAAAGGGGGCGCCTCTCCATCTGTCTCAGATAGCATAGAAGAACTAAAATTTCTTTTGCACGAACGTTTTCTTGGAAGGAGACAACATTACAGGTTTCTTAACAACCTTCACAAAAAGGCGAATCACTCGACACTCTATAACCGGTTTATGGATGACAAAAGAACAAACGCTGATAGGAAAACTATGACATTTCAACAACAGTACAAGTAATCGTCTAAAATTACTGAGTGGCACAAAACTATCGACCCTAGGCGGGAGCTGAACCCGCGTTTAACCTTCAACAGAGCGCAGTTACCACTGCGCCAGGCCGGGCCACTGTTTTCCTACCACTTCTCCTTTTATATGAATGGTGCGGTGCCGCATAGGTGGCACGCGCCCGCTCTGTGGGTGACACGCAGGTTCGATTTCCGTCTGAGGTCAAATGCTTTGCATACCACTCAGTACTTTAGACGTTTATTTATAAAATAACACTGCTAAAAAGCAGTAAAAAAAACAAATATCCCACGCAGATCAACAATATCAAGGAACAAACGAAGGATACAGCGGATATAACCAACGATAACCATTCAAGCTTCGACGACAGCGTAGTTGAATTCGCCAGTGTTCTCGTAGTCGGCCATGTCCAGCGCGACTTCGCAGCTCTCACGTACTACCCGCTGAAATGAAGTCAGACATGTCAAACAAAAGACACTACATATGAATATAAAGGCTTTTTGACACTCAATCTACTGGAAGAGAGCGTAGCAGCTCAATGGTTAGCGATGCAGCGCATCACAAAGTGAGGTGATAAGCAATGCGCTGGTTCAATCCCCTCGTCCAAACCCTCTTACTACCAATCAAAAAATGCCTTACAGAACAACGGCTTAGTCCACCTTCTACTGGGATTGGAAGGAGAATCGTCTTGACCAGCATTCTACAACATTCACAAATGGGGACGAGATTTCAAGCAGCAGCCGAAACACACATGAGACACTTGAAGACATTTGCAGAGGATGGATACGAGGAAACGAATCGGTTGCAAGAGCTGTTGGGATCCGCATGACGAACGGTGATAACGGAACGTATAAAATAAAATCAATGATCAAAACATGCAACTGTTGAGTGGTAAAAACAGAGCGCATGTGGCGCAGTGGTTAGAGGTTTTTTGCGTCAGACATGAGGAAAATGGTTTGATCTCGCGCTCATGGCCCACTGGCCATCCATCCCTCCGGGATCTATAAATTGGTAACGGACTGGTCGCAGACTTGGCTGCAAGGATAAGCGGTGCTGACTCGATACAGCGGGAGACCACCGTGAGTCATAGTAAAAGTCATATACGCACTCAGTCACCTCAAAGGACGTCGAAAATTGAAGACGAATGCATGGCGCATCCCTCAAAGATTATTCGAGGCCGAAGGCTTTTTAGCCTTATGCAAAACATCCGAAGCAGGATTAGACCTCGTGTTTCACCTATATAGAGTGGCGTGCTACCACTACACCACCGAGGCTACCGCTTTGATAGCATTCTCTTCAACGAACTCAATTTCCAGCTGAAGTCGGATGATTTACATAGACTCAATAATCTTAGTTGTTATTTGTAGCAACATACCAATGCTTATGAGAAGTAAAAAAATTGTATTACCCACATATATAAACTGGAAAAATAGCCACAAGCCAAGTTATCGACAATCGATTATCATCCACTTTGAAAGGACGGCAAGGTGATCTTCTCATCGTACGCTGAGTGTAAATAGTCCGCCGTCGGTCCCTCTATACAAGGAATTCATCCTCTTACAAGGAAGCACCTGGACCCAACAGCACAGTGCTGCTGATGAGACTATAACGCCGAGACACGTGTCTAGCACTTTATAAGCGCCATAACACACCTCGTGAAGGGCTTAAAATACGCTGCCAGGATGTTAAATTTTGAGGGAGATCTCAAAATAGTTCACTGAAAAAAGATGAAGAATAGAATAATCACAATGATCAAATAAAATAAAAGAAACCTCAGGATCATCAATGTATTGTTGCAATATTGAAATGCATTCATCGGTCGCTATAGCTCCGAGCGCTTCAGCACATTCATGACGAACCGTGCGATTCTGAACTCAACAGTCGCGTCAAACCACTCAAAGTCTCAATCACTGCTTATTTCACTACAAGTTAAACTTTTGATTAGACTTTCTGACCTCAGAGGAAAGGCAAAGGCGATCCTTTAGTTCCTGTATTACAAGAGGAGATTGTAGTTGACCCCACACGTAGGCTACTTCATGACGGAACAGAGCACTGTCTTCACAATAAAGACCTAAAAAGAAAATGGTCTACTAAAGAAAACTGGAACTCTTACTCTTTTCCTACGGCGTATACCCCCCCCCCCTCTCCCCCTCCCGCCCTCCGAACAAAAATTTGATACATATGATCGACTGTATTCAAAACCTCGTGATAAACATTCGAAATAACTTCAAAAAGAATGTACTGAGCCTAAACGAGGTTGGTACGCCAGGGCCATACACCTGTGTTTCGGAAGTTTCGGCCTCCTCGTCAGTGACCCCCGCCCCACATTAAGCCCTGCTTTAAAGCAAGGAGGGAGGCGTATATGGTGATGGTCACCACTGTTTAGTCGGTGGATTTCGGCTGGTAGACCAAAATTAATCCATATGATCGAGTGTGGGGCGGGGTCACTGACGAGGAGGCCGAAACTTCCGAAACACCGGTGTATGGCCCTAGCGTACCAACCTCATTTAGGCTTAAAACATGCTTTTTTAAAAAAATTTGGTACTTATTTGGTAGAATTGGGTTTCAAAGCGACTTCATCGTCATCTATGAATGGAATATCACCGAAGAAACTTCTATTAAAGTAATTTTAGTAAAGAGAATGCCCAAATATTTTTCGTTGCCGTTCGAACACCTCGCCAGCAAAAACGTCCGCCGTACGAAAAGATCAATCATGTAATGAACAGCGTATAACTCGTACCTTGTCCTAAGGCTTTGATGGATGCGTCGGTGTTGATGTTTCGTAGCTTAAACATGGCACAATAACGATCCCAAAGCAATTTCGAAGTGTCTATGAGAGTACTCTTCAGCTCACCGACATCGTCTACATCGGCCGCCGCAGTTGGATCTGAACCACAAGAGGGCAATGTTAGTGAGTTGGCAAGGAATTTTTCGCACTTCCACGTTTCGTCGGATATTTTTCGAGCATTGAAGTCTTTGTTTTACTACCATTTAAAGCAGCTTCCTGCGATTTAATTTCATATATGAAACTTATAAATTTCTTTCAAGACAGAATTGTCCCGAGAGCAAAAAACGACTTGACCCAAACGATACTCGTATAGCATTAACGGCTGTTTTGGCTCGCAAGATAGTTCTATCTTGATACAAATGTATAAGTCCTTCTTTAATTGAAATCTGCTCGAGATTATTATGTCTTCTTTCCCAAAATTTGATAGCTAACGTTTCAGCGACCCCGTCTTCATCAAAGCTTTCTTAACACTTTCCGGGGAGACGCCACCGTCTTATGTGACTAGATCAAATTTTGAGAAACAGATGTACCAAGCTCGTGCCACTTTTAACCAAGGAAAAGAACAGTCTGTAGGACTTTTGCATTCTTTTTCTCACGCCGAGATTTAGAGAGAGTCGGACCTTCGAGTTATTATAAAATGTACAAGTGTTGTAAAGCGGTAGATTTCTTGCCAACCTAATACAAAAGGCGACTTATGGGCAGACTTTCAGAGATCTACCATTATTTAACCTCTGTAAAAGCAATCAACACATTTATTTCGGAGATTTCTGAGATTACACGCAATTGGTATGATCTTTTGATACGAAAACGCTTCGACGGCTGCGCTTGCGCCGCAGTGGACAGAGGCCGACGATGCTTTACAAAAACACGTAATCGGTGGCTCGATTCCGTGTCCAGCCTCACCAAGCCTTCCATTCCTCCGGGACAGGTAAAGTGGCACCAGACTAGTCTGGGAGGATAGCAACATTAACTCGATACATGGGTTGGCTACCACGAGACATTGTAATGGTCGGATATACATTAAATCCCTTTAAACGATGCTTGATAAAGACAAATGCCTGACACATCCCTCAGGAATTGATCCAGGCCTAAAGCTCAATTCTCTAACGTTTTTTGACGTTTCGACATTTTCGTCTTCATCGGATCCAATTGATCAGAGTGGATGATCCATAGTCGTTCATCATCGCGGTGGTTCGAAACGTTAAAGGATAAAACTCTTGGCGTGATCAATCAATCCCTGAGGGATGCGTCATGCATTCGTCTTCGAATCATTGATCAGAGTCGATGATCCATAGTCGTTCATCACCGCGGTGCTTCGAAACGTCAACGGATAAAGCTTCTGGCGTTATAAATCAATATCTGAGAGATACGTCATGCATTCGTCTTCGAATTACAACTTCGTTCTTGGTGATTATTTAGGTGCATATCTGACCATAACAGAGTCCACCTATGTATCAAGTCAAGGCTGCTGTCCCCCAGATAAGACAGGCATCATATACGGACCAAGAAGGGATGGAAGCTTGATAAGCCATGAGCGCGAGATGGATCCATCGATCTCGAGTGCGACACACAGCATCTCTGAGCTCTGAGCCACATGCGCTCGAAACATCACTCGAAAAAAATTTGCTAGCAACCACGGATAAGCTGAAATACCTCTAAAGAAAAATATGGGTGGACATTTAGAAAAGAGAAAAAAAACTGTCCTACCAATACTCTGGTAAGGGTCTTTAGTTTTATCGCCAGTTTCTTTGATCCATTTTAATCTCCGTAAGGCCAGTTCACACGTCTCTGCTACTTCTTGGCATGGATCCTTCAATTCAGATTTGGCACTTCTTGGTCATAAGGAAACATGAATATTCGATCTCAATTGTTGTACAAGAATTTCAATGTGCCTTGCAATCATTTTTGAGCCACGCATGTCAGTGTCAACCTTGTTTGTACAAGAATTTTTCACAGAAGTGATAGTAATCATTCGTAAGCTTGAATCTCTGGCTAGTGCCGTACCTGGGCCGTTTTCGAAAAGACCCTTCCACTACGCTGTAAAGTCTAAAATAGAATTACATCCAGAATTATAATTCACACGCGCATATTTCTCGCCGAACAGAGTCCTTTCAAGACTATCAGCAATCTTTCGATAGCGCACGCTTCAGTAATTCCAATGCTGTGTTCATTTCTTGAAAAAACCGTTTCTCTGCAGGGCAGCAGGAAAAATAAGATCAATTTCACCTGCGCGGGCGAGGATATTTTGGCTATTCTGTGGAGGTGGGAAGCGCAGCACAGGGCGAATGTGACCGCCTCAACACGCCGGTCGGT